TCTCTTCCTCTCTTGGGGAAAACTTCGCTGGAATTTTTATCGCTGACCCGTAATGACCTTCGCATCGATTTCATCGCCTCCCACTTCCCACCCTCCTCCACTTTGTTTTATTTTCTTTTAATTTATTTATCTTTTTCGTAGATATTTCGCTTGAAGTTGATTTTATGCTCCAGCTAACTCTGTCTCCGTCTTTCCATCTCTGTCTTTCCTATGAACTTTTACGGGTTTTTGGTCGCCTTTCCTGTCGCCTTTTAATTGTGTTTAAATTATTGCCGGGAAGGGGGGATGGGAGCTTCGATTTCTGTTTATCTTCAGCAATTTCCACTAAGAGCGGAATGAATTTTCTTTGAAATTTATTGCTCCGGAAATTAAAGGAACTTTACGAAAGAAAATGGTTCAAGGGAATGACTCTAGAGAACTTAGTTTTATATTCAGTATATAATAAAGTAATTTGTATCTGCCCAAAATCATAACAAACCGATAGATTAGTAAAATCCAAATGGTTATATCAAATTACCATAAATTATTATAATCTATTTATTGACCCCACCAATTTCTTCGACACTTAAACTCCACCCCAAAGATCCCAGATACGTAAAACTTTCTCCAGAACAACAACAGGCTCAAGTTTTCTATTACGTCGCTGCATTTTCATTGCTGATTTTTATCACGGGCACATTGAAAATTTACGACTTTGCTCAGCGCATAAATTCTGCGCCGTTTGCCAATTTTTATTATCTGCAAAATACGTTATGCGCATCTGAGGAATACACGAGAGTAGGGAGCATCTAATGGATACATGAACCCAAATTGAGACACTTTGCATAGACCAAAGCAATCATCCTCCCCTCGAAAGAAGTCGGGAAACTTCTCGGGAGGGAAAGCTCGAAAAATGAGCCAAGAAATAATGATAAAAGGTGAAAAATGCACTTAGCGGGCAGGGATAGCAGAAAATGCTAAGCGTAACTTATTACGAAAGAAGGAGGAAGGGAAAGCATAAAGAAGGAAAAGAAACTTTCCGCGGAAACTTCAGCTGCATGTGTTGCATACTTTGTGGGGCTCCAAAGAAAGCATGAAAAACGAGCAAAGGGAAAAGGAAAACATTGTGAAATTTCAGCCCCAAGTAAACGGGAAAAACAAAATTTTAATGTCCCCCATAGGAAAGGGAGAAATAGGGAAAAGTTTCCTCCTCCGATTGCGATGCAAAATGTTGTCACTTTGTATCCTGACAGCCAGGATCATCAATCGCTGCACCCAGAAAAAAATCCGTTCGAAACGTTCAAAAATCAAGCCCAAACGGGGTCAAAAAGTGCGTAAGCCCGTTTGTTGTCAGTTCATGAACGCTTGTTCATAAAATTTGAACGAAATATTTGGCATGTTTTGCGAACGAATGGGGTCAGTTTTAGAACATTTTGGGGTTAATTTGAGAACAAAAAGTTCATAAAAAAACAAAAATAAACAAGATTTCTGTACTTGCCACTTGCTGTTTTTACTGTGCGCCTGGTAGAGATGTATTTAATATTCTTTTTTTTAGTGGTTGAATTATTTTTAATACATGTTATATTTTAGAATTTGTTGTTGTCATATAGTTTATTTATTATTAGAAGTACATATTAACATTAGAAATAATATTTTATTAAAACTTACGATTCACGACGTCCTCTCTCGGGCTCGAACCTGGGCTACTCTATGTCAAAGGCGGACGGTCTAACAGCTGGACCACGGAACCAATTTTTCAAGTACGGACAAACGGTGCACTAGACTTGCATGTTTTTCGGTCCGGGAAGGAAATAGTTTATGAACAGCGTTCGCAATTTCAGAACCATTGTTCATAATCTGACCACAATCGTTCAAAGCTCAACACTTTTCTGTGACGCGTTCATAATTTTACCAATAAGTTCATGATTTGACCCCGCGGCGTTCTTTTTTCATGAACGAAAAATAGCGAACGGATTGTTCGTAAATCAAGAAAAATGTTCTTGATTTTTTTCGTTCTTTTTTTTCTGGGTGTGCTCTCTTTTTCTCTGTCACCAAGGATCCCTCAGAAAAACGTAAGAAACGGGAATATAAATAAAGGAAGACACCCCAAAACCCCAACATTTTTCCAGCCAATAAATTTTCAATTTCCGTCCTGAAATTTGCAATTTATTTCACTGCAGCAAAGCTAATTTCCACTTTGCTCCTTTGTAAGAACCTTTGAGAGAGTTTTCCTAGGTGGACGGTTAGTTTTCCCCGTAGTTTTCCACACAAGCTCACAAGAGTTTATCGAAGGACATAAATACGCCGGCAAATTGCATTGTCTGGTCCCAGGATTGCACTTTATTAGATAAGCAAAATAAGAGGTAAACATCTGCCGGGATTCCCGCAATCCTTTGACAAGTAAACAACTGGAAAAGTTCACCCTCCATTTTCCCCATAAATCACGGCATTTTCCCTCAATGGAGGGCTGTCAGCAATTTGATTTGATTTGCAGACGCTGCGAAAATATTTCATAAATATTTACCCACAATTTTTTCCCGATTTTTTAACACTTTTTCTGGGTTTTTCTGCTTATCGCAGGCGAACATTTGCAACTGTGAAAATATTTTCGCGCTTTCCGTTTGTTTTTCCCTTGCTACTTTGTATTGCAAATATTTTCCACCATTTTTGCACTTTATTTGCCTGGAAGGGCGTGTCCGAGGGGGCGTGGCTGTTTGTTTTCCTTTGATGTGCTAAATTGGTGCACCGATTGCATTCGAAATGAGATTTGATCGCCTTGAAATCGTGAGAAGTTAACTGGGGGTTATGGAAACAAGGAGGTTGGCAGCCCTTAGTTTGCATACTCAACTCTCGCAACAGAGATTTTTATCCTTTCTGCGCTTCGGGACAATATCCATTTGATTTTAACGACTTGCGAGCAAAGTTTCCCCGCAGGCAACTCGAATCCTTTCCAAGTGAAACATTAAACTTTGCCCCATCAGAGAAATAAGGATAACAACAACATGGTGAAGGATATCAGCAGACAGAAAGGCAGTCGGGATAATGGCCAAACGAGACATGACAGCAATGAGGGAAAACATTTACAATAATCCCGAGGAAAGGTTAAAGGCGCGACATTTCCATAGCATTTTCTTTTGTTTTTAGGGTCGTTAGAAATAAATGTATAAATCCAGGGTCATGGCACATTATAAGCTTTGAATCACTTAGCTGATGTCTAACCAAACCAAAAATGGAAAATGGGAGGGAAAAAAAGAAGCACAAATTGTGTTTAAATAGGCCACGTCCACTTTCCATCCTCTCTCAACCACTCCTAATATAATTTGTCTAATTAACTCATTCTGGTTTATCCTTCAACACCCCTTCCTATTTCCTTTTTTAAACCCCTTTTCGCAGGATTTCTGTTGGCTCCGTTTGAACTTGGCAAAGGGAATCCTTTAGAGCCTCTAATTATGCCAGTTGGCTAAAAATGCGAGTGGCGTTGCCTAATTGCAGGCGACTAACGCGAAGGCGGCTCACGTGGCGTATGCGCAACGTGGGATAACTTTTCCCTTTTCGCTTCTTGGGGTGTTGTTTCTTGGCGCCTTACTTTTAATGAAATCACGCACAATTTGAGGGGTGTGGGTGCGTCATGAGTTCAGCTAAGAAACAAGGGAACAAAATTGTGCCTTTGATGGCTAAATTTGGCGTTTAATCAGGTCTTAAGATACAAATATCTGCGCTAGAATTCAAGGAAGAATCTGCAGTAACCCTTCACCACAATGATGTCCTTGTCTCCTCATTCGCCTGCAATCCTTTTGTGGTTTTTCACAGTTTCCCAAGGAGATGAGAAATTCATTCAAGGGGAACAACAATCCACAATTGTAGGCCATTTTGTGTTTAATTAAGCTCGAACTGCCAATGGTTAAAGTCGCTCTCCCTTTCGAAAGAGAAGCAGATTCATTTGGCCATGCAAATTGGAAGACCCGCAGGAAGTCCAAACACCTGAAAGGAGCCTCGACCTTCGTGATTGTTGCCCTCTATTTACTCCCCGTTTGTTTGCTGTGGTCAGCAATTAAAAATTCAAACTACAGTTGTGCCGAGAAATGCCTTACTAATTCTAATTGCAAACTGTGTTGCGAATGTCCCCAAAGGACCCACAAAGGACACCCCGAGGATGCGGCTCAGCTGCTCTCAATTGTTATGAAAATGCGGTTGGATAATGGAAAGAATCTGCTTAGATATTTACAAGCAAAGTGGTTGGGAAAGTGCTTCTGAATTAATTGAAATCTGGTTGGGCAAGGATTTGTTTCGGAGCTTGTTCATCTCCGTAGATTACTTAAAAATAAGGAATATTTCTCTTATCACCCTATTAAATGGCCAAGGGTCTCTCTTATATTGTCACTAGCATTCTGCCAAAAACAAACTTTAAAAGGTGCCAAATAAACACCACTAATGAAAAAGTAAAAGAGGGGAAATTCCAGGTGACAGCTGCTAAAAGTTTGCCAACATAACTGCCAAAGTGGAAGGAAGCTGGAAAAGCGTTAACTTTGCAACAGTGTCAAAAACTGCAGGCGCATCGGGAAAACAAGTTTAACCGTTAGAAAGTTTGTAGTGGGCATTGGAGAAAAGGTAAAAAAGTGGATGTCAGTTTAGAAATGTGTCTAAATGGGTTTTCACATCAGTTATTGAGAGGTCTGTGATATCAATTTAGCCTAATTGAGTTCAAGGACATCAACAATTTTCTTCTTATTCCCTTTTCTGATTTTCTGCTCACATCTCACCAGCTCATTGAGACAAACCTGAATTTAATTTAATTAAATGCAGTATATTTAATGCTCTACAGATATAACATTATAATTGTTAGTAATTTTCCCGACAATACAGTTCACCAGTAGAGGGCCAAAGTCACCCTCCCTTAACCAATAATTTAGAATAATTAGTTTGCTTATCTGGTTGACCATCGTTTTTCTATCAGCCCTTCAGCACTCAACGGTCGATGTGTAATTTTCGATTCACAAATTACTCCGAGTCGGACTTCAATAATGTTACGACCGAAACTCGTCCATCGTTTTCGCCAGAACTTGGCCCATTTCACCCTGAAGGCAACGTTGTATTTATCCTGGGTCCTGGGACTATTTCCCTTCACATTCGACGCCAGAAAAAGGCAACTGCATCGCTCCAAGTGGCTTTTGGCCTATGGTTTGATTTTGAACACACTTCTGATCGTTTTGTCCTTGCTGCCATCTACTGACGATCACAATGACATCAAGGTGGAGGTTTTTGAGCGTAATCCCCTGGTAAAACAGGTCGAGGATCTCGTGGAGGCCATAGGCTTAATAACCACAGTGGTGACCCATTTGCGGATCTACTGGAAATCTAAGGAATTAGTGGCGATTCTCAACGAACTGCTGATGCTGGAAAATCGTCACTTCAGTGAGCTCATCCTCGGCGACTGTTGGCAATTCGATAGGTATGTGATCGAAAAGGGTCTGCTGATAATTCTGGAGCTCGGTTCCTCGCTGGTGATTTACTTTGGAATTCCGGATAGCAAAGCCGTTGTCCACGAGGCAGTGTGCATCTACATTGTGCAGCTGGAAGTCCTCTTGGTGGTGATGCACTTTCACCTGGCAGTGATTTACATATACCGCTTTGTGTGGATTATCAACGGACAACTTTTGGATATGGCCAGAAGATTAAGGAGAGGTGAAAGTGTGGATCCTGAGCGCATTCAAAAGCTCCTCTGGCTTTATAATCGCCTTTTAGATCTGAATAACCGACTGGCCACCATTTACGACATCCAGGTGACCTTCTTTATGGCCACCCTGTTCTCGGCCAACATTATTGTGGGTCATGTGCTGGTCATCTGTTGGATCAACATCCAGAGATTTTCGCTGGTGGTCATGATTCTGCTCTTTCCACAAGCGCTGATCGTCAACTTTTGGGATCTCTGGCTGGGAATCGCCTCTTGCAATTTGGCCGAGAGCACGGGCAGAAAAACCTCCACGATCCTGAAGTTATTCAACGACATTGAAGGCATGGAGGAGGAAGTAGAGAGAAGAGTAAGTGGGTATACAGAAAAATATTAAAAATATTATATAGGTATTATAGTTTCTACTTTTCCCTTAGATAGCTGAGTTCTCTTTCTTTTGCATTCACCGGAGGCTGAGAATTCGGCACCTTGGATTATTCGACATTAACTACGAGATGGGCTTCCACATGATCATCACCAATATTTTATATGTACTTTTCTTGGTGCAATTCGATTACATGAATTTAAAATTCAAAGCAGACGATAGATATGATCAACAAATGTAAAACATTTCATTTTTAAAGTGGTTATTTATACTTTCTCTTTATGGATATAAAATAAATCATATTATTGCTATAATATCTTCTTTAATACTAAGTAATTTGGGAGATATATAGTTAATAATTTTTAACTATTTATAGTTAGTTTGTATCGTTCTGGTAATATTAGTGTGCACAATAATAATGAGACTTATTGCTTACCCTTAAAAATAATAGGTATGTTTCTATCTTTATTCTACCATTAATTTGTATATTACCGACACTCCTTGTTCTCTCTGAAATCGATATTTCATCACCGTATTAATAACTCTAACGGCTTTATATAGATGTTTAACTTTATTATCCATCTGGACTTTATTTAATGGCTAATTGTTGTTTACATTAGTAAAATTGTAAAATGGGAAAATATTTTATTTTTCACTCGCAGTTAGAAATGTTGGGATCACGTCGCAACTTTAGTCCCCTTTTGGCGAGGTTCCTCCTGAAGGCTGCACTCTATGGATCCTGGCTATTAGGATTATTTCCCTTCACCTTTGATTCGCGAAAATGTCAAATTATACGGAATCGATGGCTTCTATTTTATGGATTAATTTTGAATTTCTTTCTTCTGAGCCTAATGGGTTACTACGTAAGTCAAAAACCGGAAAAAATAGAGGCCCTTGGACGAAATCCTCTCCTGAATATGATATACATGTTTTCTGGAATAATGGACCTCTTCTCAGCCGTCATAATACACTTTATGAATTTTTGGGGAAGTGAAAAAGTTCAGGAGATCGCCAACGAACTGTTAACCCTTGAGTATCAGGATTTTTCTGGTAGAAATAGTCCTAAATTTAACCGTTATGTTATACAAAAGTCATTAATTGTGATGGGACAACTACTATCCGTGTTGGTTGTGAATTATGGAATGCCTGGAAATAGACCCTCCACCTTCCTAATGATCTTTACATGCGTGATTCAGGTGGGCATTAATCTTAATAGCATACACTATTATGCCGGAGTGCTTTTCATCTATCGCTATATGTCGACAATCAACGATAAGCTCCAAGACCTAGCTGACCTATTCAAAGTGAGTTCCCTGGATAACTCCCCAAGAATTCGCGAATTGGTCTCGTTGTATAAACGGCTTCTGGAGTTAAATAAGAAATTAATATCGGCCTACGAATTGCAGATGACTCTCATGCTAACAGTGGGTTTAGTGGGAAATATTGTGATTATATACTTCCTTATTGTCTTTGGAATAAGCATGGGTAGAACTTCCATCTCTCTGATGGTTTTTCCGCACACTTTGCTAATTAATATCTGGGATTTTTGGTTGAACATCGTTGTATGTGAACTCACGGAAAACACTGGTAGAGAAACCTCATCTGTCCTACAACTTTTTACTACTCTTGAGCAAAATGATGTTGAGCTAGAGAGAAGTGTATGTATATAAGAGCATTTTCTTCTAATAAATAAATGTTTTCCTTTTCAGCAGTTAAATGAATTCGCTTGGTTGTGCAGTCACCGCAAATTCCGATTTCAGCTGAATGGACTTTTTTCGGTAAATTATAAGATGGGTTCCAAATGATATTGACCAGCTTTCTATATTTGATATATTTAGTTCAGTTAGACTATATGAATTTGTAATTTAATTTCTTAAATTTAGGAAATGTAAGAAGGAACGTTAAAGTCATTTAGAATTTTTTGTTATTATTTTAAGAACGTTTGTTCCTATATTAAGTACAAAATGTAATAAAAAACAGTCGTTAAATTAAGATATTGGTTCCTTTTTTCCTCAGTTTATAGTCGTTCCTGTAACTCTTAGTAATTGCTCACTCTTATTCCCCTTTTCTACGTTTCTCCCTCAAATCGATACTTCATCACCATATTAATAACCCTAAAAGGGTTTACTTAGATAGTTACCTTCATTATCTATCAGTGGGGTTAATGGGGCTATTGTGGGGTAAATTTTATTCAACTCGTTTGTTTAAATTTGTAAAGTTGGTCTGACCATTTTATTTTTCATTCGCGTTGGAAATGTTGGATTCACGTCGCGACTTTTGTCCTCGTCTGTCGAGGTTCTTCCTAAAAGCTGCTCTTTATGGATCCTTGATATTTGGACTATTCCCCTTTACCTTTGACTCGCGAAAATGTCAGCTTAGACGGAATCGATGGCTTCTGCTCTATGGCCAAATTGTGAATTTTTCACTTATAAGCCTACTGGTTTACTTTGCACTTCGGAAACCGGAAGCACTTGAAGCCCGTGCAACGAATCTTGTATTGAACAATGACATACTTGGTAACTGAAATAATGGAAACCTTCTTAGCAGTCGTAATTTATTTGACGACTTTTTGGGGTTGTGAGAAAGTTCGGACGATTGCCAATGAACTTTTAACCCTTGAGTATAAGGATTTTTATGGTATAAATTGTCTTAAATTTAACCGTTATGTAATACAAAAGGCCTTTATTGTGCTGGCACAATTTCTATCAGTGTTGGTTTTGTATTATACCATGCCTCAAAATGGGCCCTCCACCTTCCTAGTGATATTCTTTTGCGTGATAGAGATGGTCATGAATCTGAATAACATGCACTATTACACCGGGGTGCTTTTCATCTACCGCTATGTGTGGTCAATTAATGGACAACTCCAAGACCAAGCTGATCAATTGAAAGATAATCCCCTGGAAAACTCCTCAAGAATTCGCGAATTACTCTGTTTGTACGAACGGCTTTTGGAGCTAAGTAGGAAATTAGTAGCGGCCTACGAATTGCCGATGACTCTTATGCTAACGGTTGGATTACTAGGCAATATTGTGATTATATATTTCCTAATTGTATTTAAAATCAGCATGGGTGAGACTTCCATCTTTCTGATGGTTTTCCCACACTCTTTACTTATTAATATGTATGATTTCTGGCTTAACATCGTGGTATGCGAACTCACGGAAAATGCTGGGAGAAAAACATCATCTGTCCTAAAACTTTTTTCTACTCTTGAGCAGGAAGATGTCGAGCTAGAGAGAAGTGTATGTATGTTAAGGAATGTTTTTCAAATCAATAAATGTATTTCCTTTCTAGTTAAATGAATTTGCTTGGTTGTGCAGTCACCGCAAGTTCCGGTTTCAGCTGAATGGACTTTTTTCGATAAATTATAAAATGGGTTTCCAAATGATCGTAACCAGTTTTCTTTATTTGATATATTTAGTTCAGTTTGACTACATGAATTTGTAAGGCCTTTCGTAAATTTAATAAATGTAATAATAATATTACTGTGCTAACAAATTTCAATAATTATATGTCTTTTCTCATTCTCCCCCATTTTACCTTAAATCGATATGTTACCCCAAAGGGCATAGGGGAACAAGCCTGGGAAAACTGCCCCAGGCGATATTGCAAAATTTTAGATGAGGATTGGTAGATAGGAACCTAATCGATAAGAATTCCAATTTTCAAATATTTTGATCCGCTGGTTTACGAGTAATCTGCCGCAACTAAAGAACATATCACTTGATGTATCTTCCCTTCGGTGGTTCTTAAGAAAACTTTTTGATGCCAATAATTTTTGTGTTAACCTTCAAGAATGTCAGCCAATCTTTGGATTTTTACCATTCTTATAAGCTACCAAAAATCGCGATTCAAATTTTCAAAAAATTGGTTCAAGACTTTCCAAGTCTGACAACACCGCCAATTTTTTACAGTTTGTGTGTCCTATAACCATCTACTTCATATAAAATATTCATAATTTTTCGAGTGGTGCAAAAGTGTTAAACAAACAAAAAACTGAAGAATTTATTTCTGGAAGGGTAGGAATTAGAGCTTGAAAATTATCGATAAATGATAGTATCGATATTTTCGATACTTTATCATTATCGTATCGATAATATCGATGATTTCAAGGAAAGCAAAGACAAATTAAAAATAATTTTATAATTCTGTTAATACCACGTATTATTATTATATACATGCATAATACACTTACATTATTATTAATATTATTATTAGAAAAAATCGCGGGTAATTTATTTAATTTTAATTTCCGGTTTTCATTATTAAAATGCACTTTCAGACTAAAGGATCGTCCTCTTAAGAACTCGTGGTTTATTTATGTTTGATCATTGAGTTGAGTTGCGTCACATGTCTAGAAAGACACCAATTCTTAGTCAAAGACATTCACGGCTTCTTAAGAATTTTTTTAAAATATATTATGAGGAAATACTTATGTAAAATAATAGAACAAACCTTTGTTCCATACCATTTTTTGGTACTAAAGAAGAACAAATTCCTCCTCTTCTGAAGAATTCCCGGTTGCTTTTTTTTTTGATCCTTTGCCAAAATTGCTCAAACGATCTTCGTTTTGTTTGTTGTTGGTATTAAAAGAACGAGAGTTCCTCCTTTCCCCAAGAAATCGCGGTTCTTTCATTTTCGATTTTATGCCACAACCTATGGTTATTTTCCCCTACTTTAATTGATACTATACCATAAAGAAGTAAAAATTCCTCCTCTTCTGAAGAATTCGCGGTTGTTTTTTTTGGATCCTTGAGTCCAAATCGCTCAAACGATCTTCGAAAAGCGACCAATTCTTATCAAAGGCTATGAATTCGCGGTTTCTTGAGATTTTTTAATAGCGGACAGAAGGTCGGTAGCTGCAACCAAGACTTTGTTTTTGGTACTAAAAAAACCAAAGTTCCTCCTCTTCCCAAGAACTCGCGGTTCTTTTATTTTCCATTTTTTGCCATAACCTATGCCCTTTTCGCCTACTTTTAAGTATTTCATAATATCTATGGTACCAAAGAAGAATAAAATACCAAGAACTCGCGGTTCTTGCATGGTAATTTGTCCCTACTTTAAGTGATTTTGTATTAAAAGTTATTTTGGTCCTCAGAATTAAAGAGTGAAATCTGTTCGTTTCTCTCTAATAAAACGTCAGAAAACATCGATATTATAGATAAATATCGATGTTTGAAAAATATCAGAAGTATCGATAATATCGATACTGATATCGATAATTTTCAAGCTCTAGTAGGAATGGAGTCAATAAAATATATTTGGCTTGTAAATAGTTAGTTCTTAGACCAGAATTATTATCAAAGAGTAAAGTTTTTAATATTATGGGTGAAAAGTGGTCCGAATTATAAAATGTTTGGCATGTAAATGTTTGCTTGTAATTGATTTAATAGGGACCCAGTCCCAGTCTAGTCCCCACAGCTTCGAATTTCATATCCTCCCTGGATAGAGATTTCATAAGAAATCCTTTGAGCATGGATGTCCCACAAATACTTTATTTATGTGATTCTAAAGAAATCGCGGTCCAAAGAGGATTATTTAATTTGCGATCCTTTCGGTACCATCGTTATTCTAAAAAGCAAGATAGTAATTTGAAAGCTTTAATATGCGGAGCACGATAACAAATTGTTAACAAATTCGCGCAATAACAACGGTGCCGAAATCTCGCATATTAAATAATCCTCTTTGGACCGCGATTTCTTTAGAATCACATAAATAAAGTATTTGTTGGGCATCCATGCTCAAAGGATTTCTTATGAAATCTCTGTCCAGGGAGGATATGAAATTCGAAGCTCTGGGGACTAGACTGGGACTGGGTCCCTATTAAATCAATTACAAGCAAATACAAACATTTTATAATTCGGACCACTTTTCACGCATAGTATTAAAAACTTTACTCTTTGATAATAATTCTGGTCTAAGAACTAACTATTTACAAGCCAAATATATTTTATTGACTCCATTCCTACCCTTCCAGAAATAAATTCTTCAGTTTTTTGTTTGTTTAACACTTTTGCACCACTCGAAAAATTATGAATATTTTATATGAAGTAGATGGTTATAGGACACACAAACTGTAAAAAATTGGCGGTGTTGTCAGACTTGGAAAGTCTTGAACCAATTTTTTAAAAATTTGAATCGCGATTTTTGTTACCTTATAAGAATGGTAAAAATCCAAAGATTGGCTGACATTCTTGAAGGTTAACACAAAAATTATTGGCATCAAAAAAGTTTTCTCAAGAACCACCGAAGGGAAGATACATCAAGTGATATGTTCTTTAGTTGCGGCAGATTACTCGTAAACCAGCGGATCAAAATATTTGAAAATTGGAATTCTTATCGATTAGGCTCCTATCTACCAATCCTCATCTAAAATTTTGCAATATCGCCTGGGGCAGTTTTCCCAGGCTTGTTCCCCTATGCCCTTAATAACCCTAATAGCTTTTATATAGATGGTTAACTTTAACAGCCATCAATGCTTCGTTAAGGTCTCTTTTGTTAATAAGTTTCTGAACATTCCCCGCACATTTTTTCCTGTGTTTGCTTACAAACGATATATCCATAGTTAATTGGGCCATTCCACTTCTTTCTCGTGGTGGGAAATGTTCGGTTCACGACGCGAGTTTCGCCCATATTTGGCAAGAATTATCCTAGAGTCGGTGCTATATGGATCGTGGCTAGGCGGTTTATTTCCCTTCATCTTTGATTCCGAAAGACGTAAAGTGAGGCGCTCTCGATGGCTTGTTGTCTATGGCCTAGTTGTGAATTATCTAGTTCTGTTCGTTCTGTTATTCCTTGGATTTCAATATCAGAACCTGCGCAAACTAGATGCCTTCGAGCGAAATCCTGTGCTGGAGAGGGTAAACGTGCTAATTACACTGATGAGCCTTTTCTCAGCCGTTGTGATCAATTTTATGAATTTTTGGGGAAGCAAGAAAGTGGAGGAAATTGTCAACGAACTTTTAACTCTAGAGTATCATGACTTTCGAGGTCTGAATGAAAAAAACTGCCCAAAATTAAACTGCTTTGTGATTCAAAAGTGGGCGGCTATGGTGGGTCAGCTTATATCCTTTTTAACGGTCAACTACGGAATGCCTGGAAACAGAACTCATATATCTCTAGTGCTTCTTAGCTGCTGGTTGCAAGTATCCGTCTGCTTTAATATCATGCAATATTATTTCGGAGTACTCCTAATCTATCGTTATGTGTGGCTGATAAATGGACAACTCGGAGACCTGCTGAATCAACTGAACCTGAATCCCACAATAGCATCGTCGAGGATTCGCAACAATCTCTCCTTGTACAATCGTCTTTTGGATCTAAATAAGAAATTGGTGTCCGCCTATGAATACCATATGATACTAATTCTCACTTCTTGGCTAGCTGGCAATATTGTGGTTAGCTTTTTTCTGATTGTGTACGGAATTAGTATGCAAAAGTGCTCGATATTTCTGATGGTCTTCCCGCAATCATTGCTCATAAATGTTTGGGATTTTTGGTTGACTATTGCCGTATGCGATCTGACCGAGAGGACTGGTAGGAAGACCTCAACAGTTCTGAAACATTTTACTGATATTGACTATAAGGATGATCAGCTGGAAAAAAGTGTGAGTATATGTATACTTGTAATGGAAAAAATTTGTAATATATAATAGAATTTTTTTCCCCTCAGGTTAACGAGTTCGCCTGGCTGTGCAGTCATCGCAAGTTCCAGTTTCAACTATGTGGACTTTTTCATGTTAACTACAATATGGGTTTCCAAATGACCATAAGCAGTTTTCTATATTTGGTTTATTTAGTTCAGTTTGATTTCATGAACTTGTGAAACCTTTTCTTTCATTTAATAAAATGTATCTTAAGTTTTATAATAGTGTCTTTTTTAATTCTTGCTTTATTGGTATTCTAAGTTGTCCTAAAGTTCTGTATATTAGCGGCATACCTTACTCGCCGCAAGCCGAAAGTTCACCGCCGTTTTAATAATGCTAAAAGCGTTTATACAGATGGTTAACTTGTAGCAGCCATCAACACTTCATACAGCGACCTATTATTTCTATACACCTTTACCACTTTTCCCGCATTTTTATATACTTAACCAATTCATTTGAATCTTGCGTTCGGAAATGTTTGGTTTACGCCGCGAGTTTCGTCCTCCTTTGACAAGGCTCATCCTAAAGACAGTATTATATGGGTCCTGGGTACTTGGATTGTTCCCCTTCATCTTTAACTCCAGAAAATGTCAACTGAGGCGCTCTCGATGGCTTCTTTTTTATGGCGGAATTATGAACTATTTCCTTCTGTTTTTCATGGTATTTCTCGGGTTTCAGTATCAGAAAGAACACAAACTAGAGGCCTTCGAACGAAATCCTGTGCTGGAGAACATAAACATTCTAATTGCTGTGATAAGCATGTTTTCAGCCCTTGTGATACATTTTATGAATTTTTGGGGAAGCAAGAAGGTAGAGAAAATCGTCAACGAACTGTTAACCCTGGAGTATCGAGACTTTAAGGGTCTCAAGCTAACAAATTGTCCAACATTTAACTGCTTTGTGATTCAAAAATGGGTGACTATGATGGGACATTCTGTTACTTTTCTGATGGCCAACTACGGATTACCCGGAAACGAATCCCATTTATATCTAGTGCTCCTAAGCGGCCTAGTGCAAGTATCCAACAATTTTAATAAAATTCACTATTATGTGGGCATCCTGTTGGTCTACCGCTATGTGTGGATAATAAACAGACAACTTAAGGACCTGGTGAACCAACTCATATTGAATCCCACAACAGACTCATCGAGGATTTGCCAATTGCTCTCCTTGTACAATCGCCTTTTGCAGCTAAATAAAAAATTGGTGTCCACTTACGAATTCCACATGATACTGATGCTTACAGCTTGGTTAGCTGGCAATATTGTGGTCGTCTACTTCTCAATAGTCTATGGAATTAGTATGCATAAAGTTTCGATCTTTTTGATAGTCTTCCCGCAAACGATGCTCGTAAATATTTGGGATTTTTGGTTGACTGTTTCCGTTTGTGAGCTCACCGAGAAAGCTGGCAGAAAAACCTCATCACTTCTGAAACGGTTTGCTGATCTTGAGTATAGCGATGATCAGCTGGAAAAAAGTGTGAGTATATACTTGAAAATATGGAACATTTTTGTTTCATTTAACTCAGTAATATTTTCCACAGGTAAATGAATTCGCGTGGCTGTGTAGTCATCGTAAATTCCAATTTCAACTGTGTGGACTCTTTCATGTAAACTACAAAATGGGATTCCAAATGATCATAACCAGTATTCTATATTTGCTTTATTTGGTTCAGTTTGATTATATGAATTTGTGAAACGTTTTCTTTTATTGAATAAAATCATAGCTTCTGTACTCTAAGTTGTCTCAAAACCCTGTACACTAGCGACATTCCTTATAAGTCCCGATTCGCTGGCTTATCGCCGTTTTAATAATGCTAAAAGCGTTTATATAGATGTTTAACTTTTTACAGCCGTCAATACTTCGCACAATGACCTTTTCTCATTTCTTTCTTTACACTTTTCTTAATTTTCACAGTACATTATTGTAGTTCCCCAACTCACTTGACCATCGTGCTCGGAAATGTTTGGTTTAAACCGTGAAGTTCGTCCATTTTTGGCCGGACTCATCTTGAAGACAGTGTTATATGGATCCTGGGTACTTGGATTATTCCCCTTCAAATTTGATTTCCGAAAAAGTCAACTGAGGCGCTCTCGATGGCTTCTTTTTTATGGCTTAATTATCAACTATTCTCTGCTGTTGCTCTTGCTATTCCTTGGACTTGAGTTTCTGGAACTACGCAAAGTAGAAGCCTTCGACCGAAATCCTGTGCTGGAAAGAATTGACCAGCTAATTGGAGTGATGAGCATGTTTTCAGGGCTTGTGATAAATTTTATGAATTTATGGGGAAGCAAGAAGGTGGAGGAAATTGTCAATGAAATGTTAGCCCTGGAGAATCGAGATTTTAAGGGTCTAAAGATAACAAACTGCCCAAAATTCAACTGCTTTGTTATTCAAAAATGTATGACATTGCTGGGGCAGCTTTTAACTTATTTAACGGCTAACTACGGAATACCTGGAAACGAAGCCCATTTATTTATGGTGCTCTTAGTCTGCTTGCTGCACGTATCGCTTGTTTTTAATACTATGCACTATTATATTGGAATCCTGTTAGTCTATCGCTATGTGTGGCTGAATAACGCACAACTCGAAGATTTAGTTAGCCAACGGATTCTTATTCCCTCGACAGACTCGTCGAGGATTCGCCAAATTCTCGCCTTGTACAATCGCCTTTTGGATCTAAATAACAAATTGGTATCCACCTACGAATACCACATGATTCTAATTCTAACTTCTTGGCTAGCTGGCAATGTTGTGGTCGTCTACTTCTTCATTGTCTATAGAGTTAGTATGCGTAAATTCTCGATCTTTTTAATAGTTTTCCCCCAATCGTTGCTTATAAATATTTGGGATTTCTGGTTGACTATTGCTGTTTGTGATCTCACCGAAAAAGCTGGCAGAAAAACCTCAGCACTTCTAAAACGGTTTACTGATCTTCATAATGGAGATGATGAGCTGGAAAGAAGTGTAAGTGATTTATTCAAAAAATTTTCTAATATAAAATTAAAAATTATTTCCCACAGGTTAATGAATTTGCATGTCACCGGAAATTCCAATTTCAACTTTGTGGACTTTTTTCCGTAAACTACAAAATCGGTTTCCGAATGATCATTACCAGCTTTCTATATTTGCTGTGTTTAGTTCAGTTTGATTATATGAATTTGTGAGAAAAATGTTGTATTAGGTAATTACAATTAATTTATGGGAAATTGAAAATAATATTTATTGAGTGAATCAACTTGCTGTTTGTACGATTTCATTGATGGGGCAGGTTTAATTTCTCAACTATCCATTAATAAATTAAGCTTTTATTGATTTTAGTCATTTGAAGGAGGACAACCATCGTAGGTTTGTCAGTCGTTTAGCAATGTTCCGACTTCGTTGTGGTTTTAGACAACAGTTGGTCTACATTATCCTAAATTCTGTTCTGTACAGCTCCTGGCTGCTTGGAATTTTTCCATTTAAGTATGAACGTAAGCGGAAGAGATTGCATCGCTCAAAGTGGTTAATCCTTTACGGAATTTCCCTGAGCTTTAGCCTGCTTGTCCTGATGCTAAAGCAGACTGGAGAGAGCCAGAGAAACGGGGTCAAGTTGGATGTCTTTCAGAGGAACTTTGTGCTGCATCAAATCAGCTTGTTATTGGGAATATTTGGTGTGCTGACCATATGTGCGATGTATCTGCGAACCTTCTGGCGGAGCCGGAATCTGGAGGGGATCTATAACGAGTTGATGCTGCTCGAAGTCAAGCACTTTGGGTCTGATGCCGTGGAGTGTCCCACATTCGATGGCTATGTAATCAAGAAAGGATTCCTAATAGTCGCAGGACTGACCTCCACATGGATTTTGCACTTTGGGATGCCGGATCAAACGTTGTCAATAGCAAATCTTTTGGTTATTTCGTTGGTCAAATTGGGAACCTTTCTCCTGGCCATTCACTTTCATCTCGGTGCGGCCTTCATCTACCGCTTTGTGTGGCTCATAAACAGGGAACTCCTAATCTTGGTTAGTTCCTTGAGAAATAATCACAGGGTAAGCACCTCCAGAGTTCGTTTACTCCTCCGACTCTATGGAAAACTGGTAGATCTCTATGGAAGACTAACCGATTGCTACGACTATCAGACGGCCCTAATGATGATAGTCTTCCTGGCAGCCAACATCATTGTGTGTTTCTACATGATCGTCTACAGGATCAGTTTGAGCAAGATGTCCTTATTCGTAATGCTGATTATGTTTCCCTTGGCTCTGATCAACAATTTCCTCGATTTTTGGCTGACTATTGCCATTTGTGATTTGGTGGAAGGCACTGGAGGAAAAACTACAATGATCTTGAAGTTATTCAATGATATTGAGATTATGGATGAAGAGCTGGAGAGAAGTGTGAGTTGATATGCATGATATAACCTAAAATATTAACCGTAATATTTGTGTTTTCTTTTCAGATTTCAGAATTTGCCTTGTACTGCAGCCATCGGAGATTGAAATTCCTTCACTGTGGCTTATTCCACGTGAATCGAGAGATGGGCTTTGAAATGCTCGTCACAAGTGTTCTGTACCTGCTTTTCTTGGTGCAATTTGACTTTATGAACTTGTAACTCCCAGGCTTTCAATTAGTCTGGATTTCCGTTTAAAGCTGTTACTAAGTCTCCCAGACAGACAGATGAGATGCAATATTAAGCAGGTGACATCATGGGAAAAAGGGCTGAATCACTTTCCTCACAAGTGAATGACTTGTAGTTGTGGAAAATGTGAGGAAAATCGGAACAGGGCCGCCGGGCATAAGCTGCAGCAATAAAAGCCAAACTCCTTTGCCATTCCCTTAGTCTTAAACGAGGCTATGCAAAAAGCCAAAAGTAAAGCTCACAAAAACACCCGAGTCAAAGGCGTCTGGAGAATGGAGTGGCTTTTCCGTAGAAAGAAGTGCAATTAAGGCCAGCAAATGAATGGGGTTTGTGCTTTGCAGCAGGGATTCCCCTTTTACTATTCTGCCCGAACAATGGAACTTAAGTACAAGTGCAGCTTTGGGAGATTTCTACCTCTTTCTTACACACAAAAAACACTCATATATTAATGTAGAACATTAGAGGCTATTATTTTCGAGTAAAGAAAAATGAATTGGATTAAATCGGATAAGAAAGGTGCCTTAAATATTTAATATCCATTAAAATATATTTTTGATTTTATTGGATTTTAATTAAATCCAATTAAAGCTAAGACTTACAATGTCTCCGGATTTGTGTGCTATATTCCAAGCACCTGCGCTTGATTTATGCCTGTATTTCTGCACATTTTATCTATTATTCGTTTGTTCAGACATCGGCAACATTTAGGCCAGAAAACTACAACTGACAGGCAACAATTAGGCCAACAATGTGGGGTCGGTGGAAAAAGTCAGACAAAGGAAGCCCACACACACACAAACCAATCGGGGGTCCTTCGTCCTTGGCATCCTTGGCTGTCAGCTACAGGCCTCTGGTCCCTTTTCGCCTTTCTCGCCGAGGGATAGCACCATTATCTTCGATTATCGAGAGCACAAAGCCAGCAGCGATAACAGGGCTCACAGCAGCCACACTCGACACAATCGCGTAAATTGATTTTTATTATCCTGCGCCGGGGATTCCCCTCCTTCTCCACGGTATCCTCGAGTTTCTGGCAAATTTCCTGCTCATCTGCACGTTGGGCAAACAAATATAAACTCGAGTGTACACAAGCATTTGATTTATTGCCCTGGCCCAGGACATCCGCCAATTGTTTGGGCCACGTGGCGGCCCCCGCATCCTGGGGCTCCATTGTTTACACAATAAAATTCCAGCAGTGAAGTCAGCATTAGGTCAACATTCCTGCCATTGGGGGCGACTCGTCAACGCTTGCCGATAATTCGATTCGCTCATCTCGATTTGTGCCAGCTTTCAATATATTTTTATTAAAATGACAGCATCTGGTTATCGCTATTTCTTCTGCTGAGGAAAGCACATTTTCACCATTTTCACGGAGGCAAGAAAATTCATAAAAATATTTCCGTTTTATGATGATTCGCCCTGTCAGCAGAAATAGGCTCGAAATGGATTTCCCTTATAGTGATAGGTTCGCACATCTTCCCTTATTTTCGCCTCCATTATGAGACCATCTTGTTTATGGTATTGGTCGTTATATTGAGATGGAAATATTTTTGTAAATTAAAAGAATAAAAACTAAATATTTATTTCAATCAAAGGCCTAAATAATTTCAAAAGAAATATCTAATTTATCGTTTTTTCCATTATCATTTCCAACTTCTTTCGCAGAAAAGTGTAATTAAAGTTTTGCCAAGCGAAATTTCCTATAGCTACAATATTCAGTCAGACTTTCCACTAATTGCCCGGCTTTTCTTGGCTTCCTTCCATCGCATTTCCCCCCTTCCTCTAGTTTCATTTTAGCTGGAGACACAAATCGGCTTTGCTCGTCGCTGAATTGTTGTTTAAACTGCCAGCAACTTGCAGCAAATTGGCAATTATTTAATTTCGCAAACTTTTCTGAGCCAAACTTTCGAGGATAGCTCTCCTATTCCCTCCTCCCTTCGATCGGCTTATATAAATTGAGGGCTGGAGGCCAAAATTATAACGCATTGGCAAACTAATTAAGGCAGTCGGCTCGAATCAATGGAACAATTGGCGGGTATTTATCGTAATTAGGGAAAGGGTTTGAGGCTGAGGGTTTGCCCTTTCATTAACTGCTTGCCTTGAAGTTCAAAGTCCCCTTAGTGAACTCCCTTCGCTCTCGATCAAATACATTCCCCAATTTGCGGCTGCTGGAAAACATATAAATTCAAATTAAAAATCTGCTGATAAACTTTGACCTTTCATTTTCAGCCTTTGGCAATCCTTTTGGGTCATTGAACGTCCTTTACCTAAGAGAAGGCGAAAAAAGCGAGTTTCACCCGCTCCCTAATTACAATAAATGGTCAGTCAGCTCAATTTTGTGGAAAGCCTGGCGGCAAATTTTAATTAATTTGCCGAACAAGTTATAAATTGAGGTGAACTTGACGGCAGAAAAGTGTGAAGGGTTCGGATAAATTTGTATCTGATTTAAAGGAAGCGCTGAACCTTTTTCAAGCGGGTTTTTCCTGTAATAGTCATTTGGATAATTCGAAAGCTATTACATAAAATGAGATGTAGGTGCCCAATAAAATATATGTATATTCCCCACCCCGAGTGATTTTTATACTCTCATAAAATAATGGCTGAACATATAAATATTCCGCCAGACAAAAACAGACTAAGAGCGGAAATTATCGATGAAATTTACGAGCCGGGCTCATGAGCATGCGATGGAGAATTTTGGCCAACTAATGCGTCCATCAGGATTTTTATGGTGTAAACAAAGCAATGAACAATTTGCGCGCATTCCGGATAAAGCCAATAAATCAAATATATTGGCCGATGCGAAAGGGAGGAAATGTGGCCCGAAAGCCCCAAAAACTTTTTGCTGAGCCAAGTTGATTGTGGATGAGGGAATCGGGTAAGTGGCCAAGGGGGAAGTAGGGAGCTCGAAGGACTCGAAGGATAATAAAAATCAATTTACGCACTTTTGCTGTGAGCGACGTGTCCTTTGTAGTTGTTTTTATTGCCTCCTCTCCTGCCGATGTTGTTGATGTCCCCCTCGGCATTGTCTTCCTCATCCTGGCTTCTAATCGAGGCTAATGGCGGTGATTCCGGGGCTAAGAGTGGGGTGGTGGGTGGTGTTGGCCTGGCCTTGACAGCGGTTGGCCCCTGACAATAAGTGGCTAAGGGTCAGATTATCCGCAGCCTCAAGTGTTGATTTTTTAACAGGATTTCATCCTTGCACTAGGCACTTTAATGGTGGCTTTCGAAAAGGATTTTATTTCACTCCAGAAAGGCTGGGGTTTTCGGAAAAATCTTTGTATTTATATATTTTATTTTTTCCAAAGCTAGTGCTCTAATTTAAAAAGTACCGCTTAGCACTACAAAGCACGAATTTATTTGAATGGAAATCCGCAACAAAAGCCAAAACCCGGAGCACAATAAATCAGGAAAAACAAGCAGCCAGCAAGTAAGTAAGGAAAGTGTGGAAACAGCTGGAAAATCGCAGTCAGGGAAATTAGCAGAGCAGAGCACACCATGTGAATCACACAAGGGGCGAACAAAGAAAATGCACCAAAGCTGCTTTCGGCTTTTCCACTGTTTTCTCTGTTCTCTGTTTTCTCCGCCGCCATTGTTCGCCGGAAAATCCAGCTGCATTCTTAGCCAGCCAAAAAATACAAAAACCCGTTCATTTGTTGGCCTTAATTGCGCTGCTTTTCACAGCTACTCCATTTTCTGGGAATCCTTTTGACTTGTGCCCGTTCTCCTTTCGGCTTTTGCATGGCACATTTCTCCCTTTATTGCTGCATTTTTCCTGCTGATGTCCTGCGGCCATGTTTCCCTTCCCCCCAGTTGAAAAGTCAACAAGGCTTTCACTTAGACACGACTCCTTGTAAGCTCGGGGACATGCATCCCACTTGTTCTGAAACCCAACCCCCCATTCTTGAGCTGTCACTTGTTAGTCCTCCGAGGAGCTCCCCTTTCGAGAACCCTCGACTCCAGACGACACAAGGAAGTGCGAACCAATTAGGGGACACTTCCAGGGGCGCTTTTAATATGCTTTCTTCACAGGTTCCAAAAATCAAACTGAAGGAGGAACAGCAGGTACAGGAAGCTGGTGATGGCCATGCGAAAGCCCATCTCGTAGTTTACGTAGAACAAGCCGCAGTGCTGGAATCTCAGCCTGCGATGGCTGCAGAACAGGGCAAAGTCGCAGATCTATGAAAGGAATAATTAATTAATATTTTAAAAATTATTTAACATTTTTTAAGAGTGAATAAAAACCTACACTTCTCTCTAGTTTTACATCCAAATGTTTTATATCATTGAATAACTTTAGGATGGCCGACGTTTGTCTTCCAGTTCTCTCAGCCAACTCGCAGACCTCGATGGTCAGGCAGAAATCAATCATGTTGATAATCAAAGCCTGGACAAAGACCGCCAACTTGATGTCTACCTTGTTGTTCAGACTTATGGTGAAGATGATAAAGAAGTAGATGCCCAAAACGTTGGCGATCAGAAAACTGGCCATAACCAAGACCATCTGGTAATCGTAGATGGATGCCAGTCGATTGCTGATATCCAAAAGACGGTGGTAGAGATCTAGGAGGTAGTCCACCCTCTCAGGCTCCACATCTTCTCCACTCGCCAGTTTGTTCACCAGCCTGAGCAGCTCCCTATTCACAATCCACACATATCGGTAGACGAAAACCACTGCCAGGTGAAAATGCAGGGCTCCCAAGAGGACAGACAGCATCATCAGACATAAACTGGTGAGTCCTATAAAAAACTGGGCACTAAAGTTCGGCGACATTCCCATCTCCAGAATCAGCATGGATATCAGTTCCAGAATCACCGAGACACCCTTGTACAGGACAAACCTGTCGAAGCTGCAGCATTCCTCCACCGAATAGTGGCGAAAGTGGCGATGCTGGAGGTCCTGCAGCTCGTTCAGGATCCTCTCAATCTCACCGCTCTTCCAGAAGCCCCGCAGCAGCATTATGGACACCATCGAGAGGCTCTGAATGTCGTGAACTCGGTTTATCTGCTCCGCCAGTGCGTTCCGATGAAACACCTGCATTTTCAGCGGCGTCTCGCTCTCCGTGTCATTGGTGGCCACCAGCAGAATAAAGGCCACATTCAGGACAAGGCCATACACAATTAACCACTTGGAACGATGCAATTTCCTCGTCCAGCTGTCGTAGGTGAAGGGAAACACGCCCAGGATCCAAGAGCCATACAGAGCACCCTTCAGCGTGAGGCCAGTCAACTGCTGGCGGAAGCCACTTCCACTGGGGCGGAACATTCCGGCCGGAGAATCAACCTCGAATGGTCAGGAGTGCCAGCTGCGATAAGGTTGGCTGGATGTACAAATGTTTTCCGGCTGTAGTGTGGGAATTGCTGATGAGCGGATTACTTGTAGTGAACGACAGGCATTTCGGCAGAATAGCACTGGAAGAAATCAACGGAGTATATGAACTTAATACCCTTTTAACAACGAATTATTTTTTAAAGACAGAAAAGAAAATTAGTTTTAACTTTGAAATATTTTTTAAGTACCTATACCAAAAATTTAATTTAATTATATATTTTTTTCTCATCATATAAATATTTTGAGTGTAATTAATACATAACCTTCCCATTCTTTGTTAACCATTGTACATACTTTTTATAGGCCAAACGAGCTCTTTGTGCTCATAATGCGAGCAACATTTTCTGCGATTAAATCGCTTAATTAATTGGATGGACATGGAGTTGAAGTTCAGTTGAAGTTTTCCGCCCCCAATTTTCCCCACTTAGTTGGGTCATTCCCGAAGGCAGGCTCGTGAAAAATAATTTCGAGAGGCCAAAGGGAAACCTGAAAAGAAGCTCGAGAAGAGCCTCTCACTGCAATTCATCTGAAATCTGTGAAAAGCTTCGAGTGCGATAATATCCCCGGCATATTTCACTTCACATCTGGAGAGTTCTCCTGGAGATAGAGGAGGAGTTTGAGTGTTTGACTTGTGGGGAGGAATCGTCTCGAGAGGAAAATCTCCGAAGTGGTGCAAATGAAATTTCATTCAATTAGTGTGGCAGACGACAAGTTTGATGCCTGAATGAGCTGCAAAAATTCGAACAGAGAATCCGAGAAGAGTGTGGGAATAATGGTTGACGTCCAGCCATGCGTTTAAGTCCTTCAACCCAAATCGATGCTTGGACCTCAGATTAATTAGGCCCAATTGAAGCCTGAGACGCGTCAATAACCGAATTATCTTCATAGAAGTGGCAGCAACCGTTTGGACACATTGCTCCCCAGAAATTCGAGTTTTTTTAAACTTTTCCCCACTGGCCGCAACAAACTTTCGAACGGTTAAACTTGTTTTCCCGATGCGCCTGCAGTTTTTGACACTGTTGCAAAGTTAACGCTTTTCCAACTCCCTTCCACTTTGGCAGTTATGTCGGGAAACTTTTAGCAGCTGTCACCTGGAATTTCCCCTCTTTTACTTTTTCATTAGTGGTGTTTATTTTTGGCACCTTTTAAAGTTTGTATCTGACAGAATTCTCGTTACAATGGAAGAGCCGTCACCTTTGACCATTTTATTAACTGATAAGAGGGATAGTCCTTATTTTTATTTAAAATCCAAATTAAATCCTTGCCAAACCAGTTTTCAATTAATTCGGAAGCACTTTCCCATCCACTTTGCTTGTAAATTTGTAAGCAGATTCGTTCCATTATCAAACCGCATTTTCATAACAATTGAGAGCAGCTGAGCCGCATCCTCGGGGTGTCCTTTGTGGGTCCTTTGGGGACATTCGCCGCACAGTTTGCAATTAGAATTAGTAAGGCATTTCTCGGCACAACTGTAGTTTGAATTTTTAATTGCTGACCACAGCAAACAAACGGGGAGTAAATAGAGGCTCCTTTCAGGTGTTTGGACATCCTGCGGGTCTTCCAATTTGCATGGCCAAATGAGTGTGCTTCTCTTTCGAAAGGAAGAGCGACTTTAACCATTTGGAGTTCGAGCTTAATTAAACACAAAATGGCCTACAATTGTTGATTGTCGTTTCCCTTGCATGAATTTCTCATCTCCTTGGAAAACAGTTGAAACCACAAAAGGATTGCAAATGAGGAGACAAGGACATCATTGTGGTAAAAGGTCCCTGCAGATTCTTCCTTGAATTTTAGCGCAGATATTTGTATCTTAAGACCTGATTAAACGCCAAATTTAGCCATCAAAGGCACAATTTTGTTCCCTTGTTTCTTAGCTCAACTCATGACGCACCCACACCCCTCAAATTGTGCGTGATTTCATTAAAAATAAGGCGTCAAGAAACAACACCCCAAGAAGCGAAAAGGGAAAAGTTATCCCACATTGCGCATACGCCGCGTGAGCCGCCTTCGAGGCAGTCGCCTGCAATTAGGCAACGCCACTCGCATTTTTAGCCAACTGGCATAATTAGAGGCTCTAAAGGATTCCCTTTGCCAAGTTCAAACGGAGCTAACAGAAATCCTGCGAAAAGGGGCTTTAAAATAGGAAGTAGGAAGGGGTATTGAAGAATAAACCAGAATGAGTTAATTAGACAAATTATATTAGGATTGGTTGAGAGAGGATGGAAAGTGGACGTGGCCTATTTAAACACGATTTTTGCTTCTTTCTCTGTCTTCCTGCTTCCCATTTTTGGTTTGGTTAGGCATTGGCTAAGTGATTCAATCTTATATTGTGCCATGACCCTGGGATTTATACATTTATTTCTAACGGCCCTAAAAACAAAAGAAAATGTTATGGAAATGTCGCGCCTTTAACCTTTTCCTCGGGATTATTGGAAATGTTTTCGCTCATTGCTGTCATGTCTCGTTTGGCCATTATCCCGACTGCTGATATCCTTCGCCATGTTGTTGTTATCCTTATTTCTCTGATGGGGCAAAGTTTAATGTTTCACTTGGAAAGGATTCGCGTAGCCCGCGGGGAAACTTTGCTCGCAAGTCGTTAAAATCAAATGGATATTGTCCCGAAGCGCAGAAAGGATAAAAATCTCTGTTGCGAGAGTTAAGTATGCAAACTAAGGGCCATCCCCCTGTTGTTTCCATAACCCCCAGTTAACTTCTCACAATTTCAAGGCGATCAAATCTCATTTCGAATGCAATCGGTGCACCAATTTAGCACATCAAAGGAAAACAAACAGCCACGCCCCCTCGGACACGCCCTCCCAGGCAAATGAAGTGCAAAAATGGTGGAAAATATTTGCACTACAAAGTAGCAAGGGAAAAACAAACGGAAAGCGCGAAAATATTTTCACAGTTGTAAATGTTCGCCTGCGATAAGGAGGAAAACCCAGAAAAAGTTTTAAAAAATCGGGAACAAATTGTGGGTAAATATTTATGAAATATTTTCGCAGAGTCTGCAAATCAAATCAAATCAAATTGCTGACAGCCCCATTGAGGGAAAATGCCGTGATTTATGGGGAAAATGGAGGGTGAACTTTTCCAGTTGTTTACTTGTCAAAGGATTGCGGGAAATCCCGGCAGATGTTTATCTCTTATTTTGCTTATCTAATAAAGTGCAATCCTGGGAGCAGACAATGCAATTTGCCGGCGTATTTATGTCCTTCGATAAACTCTTGTGAGCTTGTGTGGAAAACTACGCGGAAAACTTACCGGCCACCTAGGAAAACTCTCTCAAAGATTCTTACAAAGGAGCAAAGTGGAAATTAGCTTTGCTGCAGTGAAATAAATTGCAAATTTCAGGACGGAAATTGAAAATTTATTGGCTCGAAAAAAGTTGGGGTTATGGAGTGTCTCCCTTTATTTATATTCCTGTTTCTTAAGTTTTTCTGAGGGATCCTTGGTGACAGAGAAAAAGAGAGCAGCGATTGATGATCCTGGCTGTCAGGATACAAAGTGACAACATTTTGCATCGCAATCGGAGGAGGAAACGTTTCCCTATTTCTCCCTTTCCTATGGGGGACATAAAAAATTTGTTTTTCCCGTTTACTTGGGGCTGAAATTTCACAATGTTTTCCTTTTCCCTTTGCTCGTTTTTCATGCGTTCTTTGGAGCCGCACAAAGTATGCAACACATGCAGCTGAAGTTTCCGCGGAAAGTTTCTTTTCCTTCTTTATGCTTTCCCTTCCTTCTTCTTTAGTAATAAGTTACGCTTAGCATTTTCTGTTTCCCTGCCCGCTAAGTGCATTTTTCACCTTTTATCATTATTTCTTGGCTCATTTTCCGAGCTTTCCCCCCGAGAAGTTTCTCGACTTCTGTCGAGGGGAGGATGATTGCTTTGGTCTACGCAAAGTGTCTCAATTTGGGTTCATGTATCCATTAGATGCTCCCCATTCTCGTGTATTCCTCAGATGCGCATAACGTATTTTGCAGATAATAAAAATTGGCAAACGGCGCAGAATTTATGCGCTGTGAAAAGTCGTAAATTTTCAATGTGCCCGTGATAAAAATCAGCAATGGAAATGCAGCTCCGTAATAGAAAACTTGAGCCTGTTGTTGTTCTGGAGAAAGTTTTACGTTTCTGGGATCTTTGGGTTGGAGTTCAAGTGTAGAAGAAATTGGTGAGGTCAATAAATAGATTATAATAATTTATGGTAATTTGATATAACCATTTGGATTTTTATAATCCATCGGTTTGTTATGATTTTGGGCAGATATAAAATACTTTATTAGAAGATGAATGTAAAACTAAGTTCCCTAAAGTCATTCGCTGAAACCATTTTCTTTCGTAAAGTTCCTTTAATTTCCGGAGCAATAAATTTCAAAGAAAATTCATTCCGCTCTTAGTGGAAATTGCTGAAGATAAGCAGAAATCGAAGCTCCCATCCCCCCTTCCCGGCAATAATTTAAACACAATTAAAAGGCGACAGGAAAGGCGACCAAAAACCCGTAAAAGTTCTTGGGAAAGACAGAGATGGAAAGACGGAGACAGAGTTAACTGGAGCATAAAATCAACTTCAAGCGAAATTTCTACGAAAAAGATAAATAAATTAAAAGAAAATAAAACAAAGTGGAGGAGGGTGGGAAGTGGGAGGCGATGAAATCGATGCGAAGGTCATTCCGGGTCAGCGATAAAAATTCCAGCGAAGTTTTCCCCAAGAGAGGAAGGGAGATCGGAATTAATTGCGGAGAAATTTAATTTTACGACGGAGTGTTTCATCGTTCTCCTCGCGAGACTCTTAAAGAGGAATAAAATTCGCAAAATGGGAAGCCAATGAAACTGAAAATGAATTGTGCATGATTTTTATTGAGCCTCGAACTGAGAGCTATGAAAATGTGATGGAAAATGCGCTGCAAAGCTCTCTTGAATTTCGTTTTTCTAC